GGAAAATCTAGCATGGATAGTTATTGATAGAAGGTTGAAAAAAGCTTAGGACTAAATAGAGGAAGGTCACCAGGGAGTTCTGCAAAGGTTTACACTAGGAACTGTGCTCTTTACAAAGTTCCTAAATGACATGGAAAAAGGGATAAGCAGTGAGATGATGGAGTTCACTGAGAATATGACTGGCCAAAACACTGGTGCAGTTGTTTGTTTAGAGAAGCTTTTGTCTCAGTGAATATCAACACAAATGCAATATGAGGTTGATGTCCACTAAGTATCATCTTAATCTGTGCTTTCCCTTACAGCTTGGGGTGGGGTGAATAATTAAAATAGATAAATTGCAATCTTGATCTATAAATCACATCACTCCAGTTGGAGCCTTTTAATTGTTATTCATAGTCCTAGGCCTCACTGAAGCTGAGAAACGTTGCAGTAAGTTAACATGAGAGGCAGCAGAGCTGCAGTGTGGCCTTCTGTATCTCCCAAACATTTGTCATATGGTTATCACTGCTTACATTCATTCCAAACTCAGTATTGGTAGGAGATATTGGCTGTTGGGATGGCCTTTATGTCCAGCCTGGATCAAGGCTCTGAACTGACAAATTTGCTTTGGGGAGTGTTTGTGAACTCTGCCTTTAAGGACCAACTGCAATCTTGATACCTAGAACATATTTTGAGATAAATCCAGGGGACTAGCATCTCTTGTAGTATCCTAGGGGGCCCCTCCAGGCTGGGTATTGTTTTACATTTGCAGCACATCAGAGATCAAGTGTTTGTTCAGATCAGATGACAACATTTTATAGTGAACTGGTATAGCTCTAGAAAAATGTTTTCCCACTTGAAGCAACTCTGCAGACTTGGAGAACTGGAACTGGGCTGAAAGGGTAGATACGTCCTCTTAATTATCAGACCTTACTTGAACACAGTATAGTCAGGGAGATGGATTAGGTCTCAAAAAGCAAAACTGTGCCTCTTTAGAGTGATGTCTGGAGATGAGCATCCTTCTTCTTTTAGCCACAGTACAGACCAAACATTGCACCTGAAACACTTCCTTCTTCAACCATTCTGTAGGCAGGTCTTCTCACAGTGAGTGATCATGAAGGAGTCTAGAAAATAGTAGTCTCTTTCCCTAAAATCTTTTCCTCAGCAGGAGTCTTTTCCTCTTTAGCAGAGTAGATTGGAAGTGGGCATTGATAATCAGGCCACCTACTTCTCACTACCTTTTATATTTCAGGAAGCATATGGAGGCTGACGCATTTCCTGATGTATACTCAAAAATTACATAAGTTTGGATCCAGGGCCACTGATTATCAGCATGAAGCTCCAGGCAACTCAAAAATCTCTTGCTGTGCTCCCTATAGCCCTGCCCAGCCATGGCACCACTGCACCAGGGAGCTGTCCAAGGCTTGGGACTGAGCCCCTGACCAGGACTGAGCCCCTGACCAGGCCTGACCTTGGTCCCACCTGCAGACTGACATCCTGTCCTTGCCTGGTTGGAGGGAGGGAGCTAAGGTTTGTGGCAAATTAAAAGTTAAAATGAGCAAAAAATTTCATTGCCTTTTGAACAGGTTTGGGTTTTTCCATATGAAATTAGATGAATCATCTCTGAACCATTTTTCTGCTGACAGGAAATGGTGAGAGTTAACACATATAGCTGGGCCTCAGCAGGAGAAGGGGAGAAAACATGAATCAGACAAAAACTGGAGGATTCAAGTAACTGTATTTTTGAGAATTTTGAATAAGTGGCTGTCGGTTCTCCTGTTTCCAAAATGGGTTTTACAAGTTTGGGAAAAGTGTTGTGATATGAAATGAATAACTGCAGTGCAGTTATTCAGGAAAAGTCATAAGGAAGGGTAGGAATAGGAGATAAAGTTCAAGAAGAATTTTCATCAGTATGAGAATAAACAGCTGAATACAGAAATTCTGTAAGGTGCTCCTCCTAAGTCTTGCAATGTCATCTGTGGTGGATGCTATGCTTTGTCCCCTAGAGCCAGGTTAAGTAGCACAAAAGAGATATGCAATAATCAAGAAGGTACCCTAATCTTGCAAAAATTGCTTGCTGCCTTTCAGACATTATGTTTGGTACAATATCTTTTTGCAAGTTAGTAGGCGTATGTTACTGGTTTTAATAATCTATACTTTTCATGCTGTCTGGGAAGTTGTCTAAGGGAGCTTTCAGATCTGGTCTTTATCTAATTGATAGCAGCTGCAAAAAATTGTTTTGTAGGATTTGAGGACAGATTTTTGTTTGACCAGATATCTCTGTCTATACTAACAGTGCATGCAGAGATTGACAGCCTGAAATACCACTGAGATCCTGTGGTTCTTGGTGTCCACCTCTTCTAAGGTGAGGTAGCAAAGCTTGCTGTAATTGCGATGGCAAATGCATAAGAGGAAGGGAGAATCTCTCCCAGCAAACATCCTCCCTATCTGTTTTTTTTTTTTTTTTTAGTATCTGCATTGCAGGGAAACATTTACTATTTCCATGTATCTTAGGTAAGCTTGATCATGACTAGAGGAATGACCTCTGATGCGTAACTTCAGGTTTTGGTGTTGGTAATCACACAAATAATAGAAGTATTTGGGGGACGAGAGTGAACCATAAACTACAGTCCTTGTATATTCACTGCTGAATGAGGTGACACTGTATTCAGATCTCCCTGTATGCCTTGATTTTTCTCTAATACTTCTGCATCCTCCCCCTAATAAACATGACTTGACTGCAAGTATGTGAAATGGAAAGCAAACAATGGAGTAAACGCATATGTAGAAAATCAGATAAGTAGAAGCCCCTAAAATAATTACAAAAAACCAGCATCAAGTTGCAAAATGGCTACGTAGTATTTGATACAGAATGATAAACACAAAAGTGGAGTGAGACAAGAACTACAATGATGTGCTGCAATGTTGCTCTGGCATACACTGAGAGTTTTTCCTCTGGAGATGGTTGGTGTTGTAGTTGTCACTGCTACATTGGATTTAAACATAAAGCTGTACTCCAGCTGACTATGTGTGTATAAGGAGAACAGTCCTGAGACTATCAAGTCACAGGTTGGAGGAAAGTGTGCTATTGTGATGCATTATTAGCCTTGTAAAGTAGAAGTTACATAGAATGGGGGAATTTTTTTTATTCTGAAGTGCAAAAACTTCTGTCCCAACACAAATATTGGCACTGGTAATTGAGAAGAGTTGGGGAGTATAAAAAGCTGCATCTTAGACACACTGTAGTAAGTTTAGTTTTTAAAGGCCATCATGGATTTTACCAGACCTCGATGGGAAGGAGCACACATACACTCATCCACCTGATTTCTGGAAATTTTAGGGGATGTTAATAATTTCACTATTCAGTTCTTTATGCCCCCTACTACTACAGGGAATAAATGTGATACAGTCACGTCTCTTGTCTTTATAATATTCCCAGTCAACCTTGCTCATCCCACTTACAACATGCTTTGAAAGCTCAGATCCAGATTTGCTGAATTTGTTGTCTTATTCACACTCTGCCTCAGTCATACCTTCTCAGCTAGGGGACTTCAATGGAAAGGAAGAGTTAGAAAGAAAACATAAGTGAGAGAGAAAAATGTATCTATTTTCCTAAAGTCCTTCTTAACCATAACTATAAAAGAAAAGGTCAAAGTGCTGATTGAGGTTTTTTTTTGAATGGGACTTTGTGAACTCATGGTCTTCCAAAATCGTCAAGAGAAGAGGTTCATTTTACTGCCCGGTGGTGGAATGAGAAAGAGGAGTGAGATGATATTTTTCCACTTACAGATTCTGCATTTTATTCAGGGACCTGCTTGGCATCACACCTGAACTGTGCCAGTGCAGTTTGTCTACATCAGGTACAAGATCAGCAATCTGACAGTGCTAAGCTATCTGATGGCCATTAAATTTCATGGTAAATAAATTGGGAGCTCCTGACAGAGACACAAAAATATATTCATAGTTTTAGCTGATATGAAGGTATGCGTGCTAATAGAGTAGTCACCTCATCATGGATAAAGAGCTTTGCATCACTTTGTGCTGCAGCCAAAGCGTTTATGTACAGAAACTGCTGTGATTTGATCTGGAACCTGGCAAAAAATGCGATTTTTCTTTCCAGCTTGGGATGAAAATATGAATAAAATGGTGCTTTCAAATCTTTTGCAGATTCAACTTCTGCCAATTTTTTTTTCCCTGTTAGTGAATCATATGAACAGATTTTACAGATTTAGACTTGTGTGCTTTATTTAGAGTGTTTTTTCTTCTTGTGCCAAAGACTTACATGAAGCTCTGTGGTTAGACAAAAATCTTTCAATCTTTGGTCTTCATGTGCCAAATTATTCCACTGATATTAGAGAGCCTTTTGGTATGTTAACAATAGCCAGTGTTTCAGAGAAGGTAGTCCATTCTGAGGTGGATAAAGTATATGCTCTGCAACATGTCATGCACAGCAGTGTGAAAGTCTGGAAACTTTAGGTTTGGAATTACAGGAAAGAAATATCCCTATATGAGTGTTTCACAGTCGTCAGAGGTACAAAACTCTGTAGGAGAAGCAGCAGCATAGCTGGTGTTTGTGCCTCACTCTCTTCGAAACCCTTTTATTTCAAAGAATTAAATTCTAACTGTTTGCTTTACTATCTAATGTAAAAAGAACCTCCTAAAGATTAAGACTGAGTTTCCTGACTCGCTTTAACTTTAAAGGACAATCTCTAATTTACAAAGAAAAACAAAACTTTTGCTCTCTCGAGGTCCTTTTAGGGTCTCTCGGGATTTCTTGTCCCCTAGCTAAGCAAATGCTTATTTTTTCGCGAGGAGACACCAACAGCAGAAAATAGCCGCTAAATCGGCCTCACCGATGTAGAAAAGGGGCGATTTCGTGACAGGTAAAGGAATGAGCCCAAGGAACACAAGCGGGAGCTCGGAGCGCCGGGCGGGGCGGGGCGGGGCGGCCGGAGCCAATCAGCGCCCGCTGCGCTGCTATAAAATAGGCGACTCCGCGGCCGGCGCTGGAGTGTGTCAGTGCCATGTCCGAGATCGCCCCCGCTGCCGGCCCGGCCCCCGCCGCCAAGAAGCCGAAGAAGGCGGCAGGCGCTTCCAAAGCCCGCAAGCCCGCGGGGCCCAGCGTCACCGAGCTCATCACCGAGGCCGTGTCCGCCTCCAAGGAGCGCAAGGGGCTCTCCCTCGCCGCGCTCAAGAAGGCGCTGGCCGCCGGCGGCTACGATGTGGAGAAGAACAACAGCCGCATCAAGCTGGGGCTCAAGAGCCTCGTCAGCAAAGGCACCCTGGTGCAGACCAAGGGCACCGGCGCCTCCGGTTCTTTCCGTCTCAACAAGAAGCCTGGAGAAGTAAAAGAAAAAGCTCCCAAGAAAAGGGCTCCCGCAGCTAAGCCCAAGAAGCCGGCGGCTAAGAAGCCCGCCAGCGCCGCCAAGAAGCCCAAGAAGGCGGTGACAGCGAAGAAGAGCCCCAAAAAAGCCAAGAAGCCGGCGGCCATGAAAGCAGCCAGGAGCCCCCAAAAAGCGATAAAAACTGCCAAGCCCAAAAAAGCGGTGGCAGCAGCAAAGAGCCCAGCGAAGGCAAAGGTGGTAAAGCTGAAAGCAGCAAAGCCGAAGGCGGCCAAGCCGAAAGCGGCGAAGGTAAAGAAAGCAGCCCCCAAGAAGAAATAAGCCCTCCGTGGAATAAAAGGTTCTTCTTCACACTTAAACCCAACGGCTCTTTTCAGAGCCACTCACCCTTTCTCAAAAGAGCTGAAGTGCTGTTTGTCGCTGTTTTGTGGAAGGGAGAATGGGGTGATGGGTCGGGGAAAGGTGGTGTGCTAGTGCAGTTTTATCTTAGAGCGGGGAGGGAAAAAAATGTACTGGTAGCTTTTTCCTGCTGATACGGCGCTAACAGCCCCGCCCCATGGGCGGGGTGGTGTGAGCACAGCGCATGTACACTGCGCTTTAGAGACGTTGATGAAGTTCAGACTCTTTTTCTGAGTTTGTGGGTGGCTCTGAAAAGAGCCTTTGGGTTTCTGTTGTTTAAATCTTCTTGGGCGTTGCTCTTCGGCGCTTACTTGGCTTTGGCCTTGTGGCTGTCGGTCTTCTTAGGCAGCAGCACGGCCTGGATGTTGGGCAGCACGCCGCCCTGCGCGATCGTCACCTTGCCCAGCAGCTTGTTGAGCTCCTCGTCGTT